TTACCCGGAAGGTCTCGGGTTATGAAAATTAGGGACCGGAACAAAGCCCATTATATTCGGTCCGAGTCGGGTTTTTGGTAGCCCGGGTTCGGTCCGGGTTCGGGTTGGACCGGTTAAAGCCCGGACGTTAAATATGTCATTGTTCTTTTATATTTTAACACTTATTTTCAAATAAAATTAATCAAAAATACAAATCGCAAATAATAACACAAATATTAGTCTCCAAAATTACCAACAATTCAAATTTAAAGAAGATAATTATCTTAGTATTTTATGTAAGATGTATACATATAAATAATATAAGTTTCTTAAAAATATTACGAAATAAATTTTATAAATCAAAAAGTTACTGGAATTGCTATAAATATATTCTCATGGTCATCATTACGCTAAACAAATTCAACATATTTGTAGTCACTAAAAGTTACAATTTTTTTTTATCCACCGTGATTATAATCATATATTAGGAAATATTTTATTTATATTCATATACTATATTAATTTTATATTAATATACTATATTAATTTTATATTAAAACTAATTGTTTTGGGTTTTTTCGGTCCGGACCGGGTTATAGATTTTAAGGCCCGTTAATGAGCCTAGAATTTTCGGTTCGGTCCGGTTTTTTTTAATTCGGGCCGGTTAAAAAGATAAAACCCGGATCGGGATCATAATTCGGGTCGGTCCAGGGTTGGTTTCCGGGTTTCGGTTCGGTTTTTCCCACCCCTATTCCAAACTACTTCCTTTCCTCCGTATGTAAAAGTTCTCTACACTTTCCTTTCCTTGTTTAGTAAGTTTTCCTTTAAAAATACTCGATTACCCTATTTTTTTTTTTTTACTTTTTATCATCTTCTTCCTACTTTTTCACATTCTTTCCTATTTTTCTATACTATTCATTACTCTTACTATTCTACCATAAATCTTGTGTCATAACCAAATGTAGGTTATGTAGCAATCTTTGAAATACGTTAACGTTTTTAACTAGACTCTAGTTAGGCCGGAAGCATTCTTCGTTTCTACTCCGTATTTAATTTCCTTGTTAAACAAAATACATTGACTAGTAATTTTTTCTCTTGGCATAGGGTGATAAAAGTGTTAAATTCTGCCTCGAAACATTCTAATTAAACTTCATGTCTTTTCGATGGCACATAATGTTTCCATCATTTTCAATGGAGCCAAAAGACTCATCATTTATTGACTTGGAATATGATGGGAAAAAAGAAATATGACTTACTGTTATGAAGCAGTAATTAGTCCATGCAATTTTCTGCGCGATTTTTATTATGAGTCATCCGGAAACAGTCTCCATGTGCTTTAGCACAGTGGAGCCTTTGCCGTACCGGTGTAATGTTGTTGTTGTTGTTGTTGTTGTTGTTGTTGTTGTTGTTGTTGTATTGTTCCATGTTAAACTAGTTACTTCGTATATATACTCTCTAGAAGGAGGGCGAATCATGTATAAACAGTCCTTATGGTGTAAACGTTTGTACGATACATCTTTACGTTATTTGTATTGCATATTGAGGTGCATATTGAGGTTCAAAGTGTTGTATATTATCCAACCATAATAGCAATTGCATATTAACGTTTGAAGAGTTGTATCCTAAATTTTTTTACTTTATTACAAAAATGCCATTGTGCCTTTATAGCATTTCGACCCACTCATCGGAGGCAGTGGCGGAACCGGCTCGAAGATGTTGGAGGGGCACACATAATGTGAAAGAGAAGGTCTCTGGCAACTCTACAAAGCGGACGGCCTGTTGGATGTGCCAAAAAGTCTGTGGCATGCATTGGATATATTTTCTAGTATATATTAATATTTTACATAAGATAAAACATCTATGTATTGCCAAAAGAGAACACACCATTTGCTACGATTGGACATGAGAAAACTACATAAAGAACAATCAAGCAACCTAGAAAGGCTAGATTTGAACTAAGACAAGTATAATTGTAAAAATCAACAAATCAACAATTATAATACAATTACCAATTGATTAAATGAGAATAATAATGAATAAACTCCACAATAAAGAGTAATATATTTGCACAAGTATTAACAAAATATAAATTAAATTGGATTAATAATTAATAAACTCAACAATAAGCTTGAACAAAAAATTAACAATTTCAGAAATGGAAATAATAATAATAATAATAAACTACACAAATACACAATAAATATAAAAACTTACAATTTACGAAAGGGAGGGGGAACAAGTGGGAGGCGAGAGAAAAGATCGTGTCAGACATGACCTAAGAGGATCCGTCGTCCGACCACCTTTATGTGTACTGTTTTCATATTGATTTAGGGACTAAATAAAACCTTGAATTATTCTCAAGTTTGCCAAGCATTAGTATTAGCCTAAAATTGTCAATTAAAGGCCCAATTTAAATTCAAAATAAGTGATAAGCAATTGAGATGGTAATAAATTCCCGTCTCAATAGTAATAGTAATAAATTTCCATCTTTTCCTGTCCTTCTAGCCGACACACGAACACCAGCACTAGAGTAATAAACCATGTGAATAGGTCCCTTTGTTGTTCTCTAGTATTGTGTACTTCCTCCGTTCTTTTTAGCTGCAACATTCACTTTTTCATGTTTGCCAACACACAACTTTGACCGTCATTATATTTAATTATGTATTAGTAAAAAATTATTAAAAAACAGATTATGAAACTTTTTAATGAGATGAATTCAACAATATTTTTCAAAAATAATAATTGAAATACATTAATAAATATAATGTAGTCAAAATAGAGTACATGAATCAGGGGAGGTTCTATGTACGGGCTATGGTAGGCTGAAGCCCAGGGCAATCGAGATTTTTTAAAAAAAAATTAGTGTAAATTTTTAAATTTTTCACATTTAGCCCACCCCTCTAATATTTAAACCTAGTATAATTCCTATTCAGCCCAGGGCATCTCAAAATCCTGGATCCGCCCCTGACATGAATAGTGTGTAATTTGCAATATTGCAACTAATGCGATATGAATGATAGTATGTATTAAAAAAAACAAAAGTCTGTAGGGGCACACATGCACCCTCAAGCTCTATACTAGTTCCGCCCCTGATCGGAGGACTAAAATGAGTTTGTAATTTGTGCATTAAAGAGGTTTGTGAATTAAGGAGGATTTGTATTTGATCTATATTTTTACTTCTATCACTTCCATATCACAATACGGAGTATAACCTATTGATCAAATATACAACAGAATGGCTCTTGAAATAGCTCAATAACATTCACTAATCTTTAATACAATCCTATGGAACATTTATTAATTACAATTGCATAAAATCTGCTATCCTCCCAAGACACCAGGCATGACTCCGGACTCCGGTGTTTTTTTGGCTTCGTCTGCTATCCTCTCAAGGCTCAACTCCCCAAGAGTGGTGTTATCGGCTCGACTCCACACGCCTTAACCATCGTCATTTCTTGTGCTTTATGGACCGACAACCATGTTTTCTTTCAAGATCATTTGTTGGATCGAGTTAATATAGAACCCGTTTGTAGCACGAAAATCAACTGATTTGGCCGATTCTGCTAAAATTTATGAAAATCTAACTGAAGCAGCTGCATTGGTTGATTCAATTGATTTAAGAAAAAATTATTTTTAAAATATATTTTATTAATAAAATAAAGAAAAAATTATATGTGAAAATAGTTAAAATGATCATCTACAGTAACTTCAGCCAATACATCCAGAAAAGTAACTTCAACCTTAATTTTTCTGCTTATTACATAATTTAGCGCGTGAAAGTAAAGATTACGTATTTGGTGGAAAAGTTGGATGATAAGCCTGATAATTTGAAAAACAGTGTTGTCAAACGGCCTCATATTGGACGAGTTGCATGAAGATTGCTACGAAGTACGTATTATTCAACACTTCTTTTTCGTTAGTCATGGACCCGGGCCGGGCCCGTCCGGGCTTTTTTTTGGGAAGGAAGGCCCGGGACCGGCCCGGGTAGCCACCAGGTCCGGTCCGGGTCCGGGCCGGGCCGGGCCTCCGGTTCAGTCATATTTTTTTTTTTGCTTTCCTAACCCCCCCACTCACCCCCCCAAACCCCCAAACCCCTCCTAACCATCAAGCCCAACCCGGCTAACCCCAAAAAATGAAAAAAATAAAAAAAAAAAAAATCAATTCGGCCCGGGCCCGGGCCCGGCCGGGCCGGTTCGCCAAATACAAGGCCCGAGCCCGGACCCGGACCCGGACCCGAGAATCGGGCCGGTTCCGGGCCCGCACAGTGGCGGGCCGGGCGGCCTGAACCAGGTCCATGCCTATTTTTCGTGATTTGCTTACTTTACTAATGCCCTCCCATTTTAAGTGTCAAACTTTAGTTTGACTCAATTGTTAATAAATTGATTGAAAAAGTAAAAGTTATTGTTGAGATACAAATATAATAAAGTCAAATGATGCAAACCACATATTTCTTTCTAAAAGGGGAAATATGTCACTTATTTTGAAATAACCCAAAAAGAAAGTAAAACAAGTAAAACGAGACACATGAAGATTATTTTTGCTTTGCGTTTGAAATATTGTTGATTGTCCATTTGTTTACGTGAGACTGTGAGAGTGTTAGTTAATTCCGATTTATTAGAAGTATAAATGTCTTTATGATGAAGTAATTTGAAGCATGAGTGATGGATAACCCTAATTTGCTAGGAGCATTGTTCGGGTGATCGCTTCTATATCCCGACATTGGGCATGACTGGCAAATGAATTAATATTATCAAAAGTAATTACTTTTCATATCAAATATAGGTGTATAACCAAAAAATATAAAGTATTTGAGACCTTCTTGGACGATATCAATTAGTATCAGAGGCTAGGAGCTCCTATGATAACCCCAAAACTTTGCCTCAATTCTCAAATGACTAAATAGCCAAAATCGGTCACATTTGCTAAGAGCCCAAGACCATAACTAAAAACCGGTCTCAATTTTCCTTTATTTAAGTCTTTAAGCTTTTCTGGAGTAAAAAAAAAACTTTTCTGAAAAAAATCCGTCGTAAATAAAATTAATTGAACATGAGTTAGCAACCAGGTGATTTGAAGTTAGGTTTCGATATTTCACATGATTTTTGGTATCAAACTATCAATCACGCCAAACCCCATTCCCTATATCATCTGCCTTCTTTGACAGCACACTTTCAAAAGATTTGCTGAACCCTGACTGGCAATAAAATGTTATACACAGAGATGTACATGACTGAATGATAATGTTAGGAACACCTAAAGTCCATTGCAGCTAGCTAGTCAACCAAAGATGAACCACCGGATCTAGACGTGTGAGACTAAGCTATGATGCATTTGAATGAGAATGTGAGTGTTATCCCTTCAGAATATCTGCAAAACCAAAGAATGTGTCACTAAATTTGCTCAATAACATGTTATCCCTTCACGGAGATTAAGAATAATCGCGGGGTGATGACTGATGAGTAGAAAATAACAAAATGAGAAAAGGGAGCAAAAGCAGGAACGCGGACAAAAGGTAGAAAAAGTAGCAAAAAGGATATCAAAAAGAAAGAAAAGAGTTAACGAAACTGGAAATGGAGCAAATGATAAAAAATTCCCTAAAAGGAATAAGGGACAAGTGGGACACCAAAAAAAAGAGCATATTAAAAAAAATGCATTTATCTAGAAATTTCTAACTTTGTGAGAGAAGTTATGAGAATCCTAAACAATGGCGACTACATAATTGTAGAGATTTCTAGATTCGTATAATGTAACGTGGATTTAGAAAGTTCTTCTTCCTATGCATAGGGTTCTTGGAAAATTTGTTAATCATGCCAAAACATAAGAGCTAAAGTAATCCACTGGTCACATTTAGAATACCTATAATCACTCAACATTTCCAAACAATATAAGAGTTGGAGCATGTATGAGCTTTAATCAGAAAACCTATGCAATGAGGTTAGGAAGCGTATATTCTCAATTTAAGATACTTTAACAACAATTCTAGCCGCCATTGTTGAAAAAAGGATTAGGCGGTCTCTAGGCGTAGACAGGGGCATTGCTCATACACAAGTTAGGCAGGGCTGGGACAGAGATTTACATAATTACATGCCATGTTGGGAAAAGTTATACAGGTCAAACAAGCTTCACCTCAGTGAAGGCGTGAGGCAGTATTAGCACCATTTGCAGCCAGCCTAACAGAACTTGCACGTTGCCGAATCTTTTGATCTTGTTCCTTCCCTATACGCATTGAAGCTACTTCCTTTTCCATTGCAGCCATCTCTCTTCTCATTCTCTTTGCTTCTATCTCCATAGCTTTATTTAATGTATCCACCTTTTTCGCCAACATCTAAATATTACATGCACCAAAAAAGTAATTTTGTCAAAAGCAGAGAAAAGAGATTGAGCACAAAAACAAAATGAAAAAGAGAAGGGGAGCTAAAAGACAACCTCAATTGCATTGTCCTTGTCCTTGACCATCTGATCTTTCTCATGGCAGACTTTTCTCAAAGCTATGACCTCTTTCTGCAGCATATCATACACTGCACCAGAAACATAATCTCCGTTCTCCAGTTTCGTTCTATCAGTAATTTTCCCGTTTCCATTTTCATGCAAAGTGTGCAGATTTCCAGATTCGTGATCTTTGTCATCTAAATTCTCCAAGAGTTGACCCTTATCTTCTTCTGATTTGCTACCTCCATTCAAAGTTGTTGGCATGTTATTTACTTTATTCAATGAAAATCGAGCACTGTTTGTTCGGGAGTAATTGGGTTTTCTTGACAAGGATCCGTTTAAGGACGGTTTGGACATGCTTTCAACACCTCCAAATGACTGCCGGCGAGCACGCCCATTGCTGACACTTCTTATTTCTGATGATGATGCAGTACGGGAGGAGGTAACATTGGGAGGAGTGGATTTAAGTCTTTCTTCTAATACTTTAAATCGTAATTGATATTTCTCCTGGTAGTAACAAGAAGATGCTTTTAAAACAAAGATCTAAAGGAAGTGAAGAAGAAAATATTATAATATCTTTACAAAAACACTCACTTTTAGCTGTGCTTCTGCCTTTGCAGTGCGTTCTGCCACTGCTAGCTTATCTCGAAGCTGTTGCATTTCACCCTGCACAAGTATAAAGCCTCAGTCCAAAGCATCTTCAATTTTTTTTTCCTTGGAATTAAGTGGAAACGAATAAACGAGTAATTAAGTGGTAGAATATTATGCAGGGGATAAATACAGATTTCAAATTCCATAATTTGGTTGATCCATGAAACCTGCTTTGAATAATCCTCCTTTGCCAATGTTTTTCCTCATGTTTGAGGAATTTAAACTCTGGGGAAGAAATTTTCCAGTACACCAAGCATGGGAACCAAATGATGGAGAGAATAATTTAGAAAAAATATTTCTTCGATCAAACCCCAGTATTGTAAGTTTAAGTCTTCAGATGTCGAAGCATAGTTAAGGTGATACAAGTGGCGTCAACTCAGGATTAATAGTGTCTTAGCCATCCATGGTGTGCTACTCATCCTATGTTTAGGCCAACATATAATATAAAACCAGCCACATATTTCACATATGAACTAACTTGCATTTTAAATATTCCATAAAACAAAATATAGACCTTTTCAACAACACAAACGGTCACTCTAATTGGCCATATGGCGAAGTGCTTTGCCTAAGTATTTAAGGTTCAAGACCCCAAAATATACATGGTGGTACACACGCTTGACCAAGTGTTCCAACAAACCGTCCAAGCGGTAGACCATTTGCTCAACTGTTTGACCAAATGTGGTTATTTAAAATATGGCTGTTGTGATCGCATTGCCCATTCAAGGTTAAAAATACTTTAGTAAAAATCCTCTTGTGACAGTTAAGGGTAGCCCAAAAATGGTTAATGATAGCTGAGAAATTCCTTCAGTAAAGGTTGAGGATTGACTTAATTCTTGGATCCTGCAAAAAGTTGATTGTGGTGTTTCATCATTTCAAAGGGCCAATTGGCCAAAGCAAACACAGTGTCAAACGAGCCAAACTTTTGTATTAAGGCTCAAACGAGCCATCATGTGTCAATTGATTTCTTCTAAACATTTTGATAGAACTAGTCCCAAGGCTTTATTTTGTTATCTAATTATATTGAAGACTTGCGTCTTATTTCTGCTAAGTTTTTTATGGAATAAAAATAATTTTTAATCCATTTGATTAACCCGCCTCTTAATGCACATAGACTTTCATAGCCAAACTTTTGTATTAAGGCTCAAACGAGCCATCATGTGTCAATTGATTTCTTCTAAACATTTTGATAGAACTAGTCCCAAGGCTTTATTTTGTTATCTAATTATATTGAAGACTTGCGTCTTATTTCTGCTAAGTTTTTTATGGAATAAAAATAATTTTTAATCCATTTGATTAACCCGCCTCTTAATGCACATAGACTTTCATAGCAACCATCTATCAGGTTCTTTTGTTTGCCAATTTCCAGGATGTAATATGCCAAGAAAAACACAAAAAAAAGAGTAAAAACCATAGGATAAATGTTAAAATTAAGAGTCCGTTTGTTAACACTGAAATCGGCTGAATTGGCTGATCCTGTTGAAATTTATGAAGTTCTGGCTTAAATGACTGTATTGGCTGATTCTGCTGATTTATGAAAAAAATAAATTTAAAATATATTTTATTAATAAAATAAAGAAAAATTATTATGTAAAAATAGCTAAAATGGTCCTCTACAGTAACTTCAGCTGAAACAGCCAGAAAAGTAACTTCAACCTTACTTTTTCTTATTATTACACATTTCAGCACACGAAATCAAAAGTTACGCGTTTGGTGAAAGAGTTGGCCGATAAGCCTGATAAGCCGAATAACAGTGTTACCAAACGGGCTCTAAAAAGTTGGACACATCATAAATATACACAGTACTTTCAGTTAAGTTCAACAGATGAGGCTAAGCTAACATATACCTGATAGAATCTTCTTTCTTCAAGCCACTGTTTTACGGGCATTACTTTCTCATTTGAATCTTTCCACTCATTTGCAACAACAACCGCTACACGGTTTGCAGATACTTTGGCACGAGCTAGTTCTCGATCTAGAAGTCTTTTCTCCTCCTGTGTGCCCCCATTAATGATAATAATGTAGGGAAAGTCATAAAATATAATTACTAGTTATATATAGCGAAATTATAACAAGAGTGAGAGAGACTGCCATTTACATTAATTTCTTGGATTTTTCTCTGATAATCCCTTACGGCATTAGCCGCAGCCCCTCCAGCCAATACTGCTTCTTCTAGTTCACGAACTGTTTGAGTTAGCTTTTCAACTTCTGCAACCTTCTGTCTGTGCATTTTGTCTAAAATTTTATTCTCTTCCTGGGAAAGGAGAAGCTCTGCTTATTAGTATGATGGAGCTTTTCTTGGAAACTAATAAAGCAAATATTTAAAATTCAGGGTTTTCTAACAGTCAAACCTGGCATATCTCAATCTGTTTCATCAGTTCTTGGTTTTTGTTCTGCAAGTCATCCACTAAAGCAGCCTTAGCTAAAGCCATTTGAACAGTATTTTCGGCTTCCAGTAGAGCAGCTTCTTTAGATTTAGTAAGGCGCTCAAGTGCTCTATTGTCATCTTGAAGTTTTGCTACCTGAAAACGGGAGTACCTCAACTATATACTTATCAAAGAATCCATAATTGGGACGGGATTATTCAACTAGTCCATAAAGTTCATTGATCAAACCACACTAAAAAAATTGATCCAATCAGTTAGCTAGTCTGCATAAGACCTCATGAACTTGCATGATTCTCTCTAATCTTTCAAAGCAGTACCTTTAAGAACTTATAAGCAATATACTCTGTGCGCCTTACAAAGCAACAGGTGGTGGCAATTAGGTACGAAAGAGAAGTGGTAAATTGATACCTCTAATCTTGCAAGTTTTAGTTCTGCCTCCAGTGGTGCTATGATTGCCTCGATAGGTGGTAATTCGTCATCTTTTTGAGCTGCATGTACCCTCCGAAGAGTGGCTTCTGCAGCAAATTGAGCAGCCAGGGCAGCTTTTTTCTCATCATTTAATTTTTTTACTTCAAGATTCTGAAAACAATAACAATATTATCAACATGGTTATTCAACCTAGTTGCACTTTAGTATCTTTATCTGTATTGAGATGCAATCAGCTATACTCAGTATCTAAATGTATGAAATGACTTGGAAGCAGAGACATGCATAGCAAAACTCTGTACTTCTGCGACTACGTCTGTTTGGGATGATGTGTGCCATATGTGCTTTTATATGTAGGTAGTTTTTACTTTTGCAAGAGAGAAATAATTTACTTTAGATATTTAAGAGTGCTTAATTGGAAAACTTGGTATTGATTGAAAATAAAAGTGAAAATTTTGAATTAGAAGTTGATGAAATGTCCAGTAAAAAGTTCTTTTTGGTGTATTAGTTAGGTAATATTTTTAATCATCAATCTCCCTGTTTACAACTTTAGCTTTAAAGTGCTACCATGATAAGCAGAAGCACCTACTTCAGAACTCAGCTTTTAGCTAAAATACTACGTTTAGCATTTCTATTAAAATCTTTTTGAACTACACATAATTTTCTTCCACTGAAAAGCATCCCCTCCTTGAAAATTAGTCATCCCATAAGCACTCTGAAACAACTACCAAGAGAAGAACAGAAGATGTGAGTGTACCTTGCTGTCTATAAGAGCTTCGGCCTTTTTTAGCTTTTCATCCACTTTATTTAGTTCATTGGTCAGCTGAAAGAGCACACATGAGAGAATTTGAAGTGAAATGTTTCCACTTTGGAACAGATTAGCAACATAGCAAAATGATTGAAGTCAAGAGCAAAAACTTTAGTGAAAATATTAACAAAACATCTAGGTTCTAGATGCAATATTTGGTCACAGAGAAAAGCAGATAGAATCTTGCATCGTATTATATTTGATTGGACGATTTGATCCATTTCCTACAGATGTTCTCATGTCCTACACTTCATTGAATTCAAGTGACAGTGAAACGGAGATGGATTAATGATTATATTCCAAATACATCTTAATCTCCCCCTCTCATTTGTATTTCTTATATACCTCTAACAAGAATATATAAACAAAAGTGCCATAAACTAGACTCCAGACACCGGGATACTTATACTTGAAGACAATTAAGTAAGCTTCAACTATTGAAATTTTTTCAAGCATCAGGTTCCCCGTTCTTGTCAAATGACAAGTTTAAAACAATCTTTGGTTTGTACGTTTTGATGCTTGGTCATGAGTAACTACAATAAGAATGCTTGGTCAAATGCTTCACCTCCTCAACAGCCTTCTCTTTTAGGCGCTCAGAGTACTTCAAAGACTTTATCTCAGCATGTGCCTCTCCCAGTTCTCTTTCTTTCTCTGCAAAGTTTGTTTAATGAAAATCCAGTAAGAACAGATTGGCCAATGTTACAAAGTTGTAATAAGAAAACAGAAAATCAAGCTGATACGCATTCATGAATACATAATCATTTTTTTTAATATCAAATAGGTGTAAATAAGAAAACAATCGCACATAACATAAATGCCACACAATCTTTTTTCTTTCTTTTTTTGGCAAAGAAGAAAGGGGTAAGTAGCATTGAAGAAGTTCATATATATAAATATGTGTGTGTTATGATAATTCTGCGAGAGAATGGATTCATTAAAAGTGCTAAAAGAGTTATCTGGTTACCTGGAAATTTCCTGTTTTCTGTTATTACTTCTAAAATTTGTGTTTTTATGTTTGTTTGTTTTTCAAATTTCTAAAATTGCGAAGCGAAGGAGCAAGTTTTGATAGATGTATTTTAATTATATAGTGAATATTCTTCATCACCAAAATATGTTACTTATATAGAAATTCTAAATGGTTAAAAAAATGTCAAAAGCTTGAAATCAGAAACAAGCTTTGAAACAATTGTTTCCATCAATATTCAAAATACTTGTTTTTATTAGTTGGTTTTTATAAATAAAAAGTAAAGGTGCTATAGAAAGTCACCTTAGTTTTTAGTGATGGTTCCTTCTGATGGTGAGTTTAACCATTTTAAATATCTGCCCTACCAAAATAATAATAGCAAATGCGATAACTCAACTTGACTATGTCATACAAAGTTATTCTTGCAATCTTGGTGGTTTTCCTCTTATTCCTCAACAAAATGTTCCAACTGTATTTTGTTTTTATGCCCGTTAAAGCCCATGTCATAAAGTATTAAATATGACATATCCTACCATCTTGATATAGACACACTAACAACTCATGACAATTTAGGGAAAGCAGTTCTGAGTCAATGAACATAACTACATAAGTCATTATGTCAGTTTACATTACTTGAAAAAGTAGGTAATGCATACAAGATAAAAACAAATGCACAAAACCAAGAATGTTGTTGAAATAGAACTAAGTATTGCCTATATAGTATCTAACATGCTGATCAATTAAAAAAATGCTTCGCTGTATTTCAGTTGGGGCATAAGAGCTTGAAAGTTTTGCATCTGCTTGAATAAGAAAAATGACACAACATGCCTCCAACTTTACATGAACATGATATGGACTTGACCTGATGTGCTACTATGATCAAACACTTTGAAGCAACCCAACAGATTTTGACTCTCTGTACAATTTAATGTGTATTAATATATTATGTGACCATGCAGGCCATTAGCCATATAATAATATCATATCATGCTTATCTGATTGTATTGATCTCCATAAAAATATACTCTGCTTGTAAAAAGCTTACCATAAATGTAGCTAAGAAGATGTGTCCCAAGGCAAAAGATTTGCATTTCATACTATTGTTTTGTTTGAAGTTTAATTAGATAGTAGATGACCCAACTACACGTAAAATGACAGTAATGTGTTAATGTCAGAAAACAACATTTGACCATTAAATTAGAACTCAAGATTTCTTTTTTTATTCCTCAGCGTGTGTAAGAGATTCCAAATCAATATTTCTTTACTGTCATGATGCTTTTAGATTAAATAAAATAACCAATCCCTGAAGTACAAGCTGCAAAAACAATAAAAGCTTGAAACTTTCTTGGATAATATGCGTCTTAAATGTGTTAAAAACATGTGAAATCCGTTTTCTTGTTTCAATAGCAGAAATGAGAAATTATAATGCAGCTAAAGTTCAGCGTTTCACATTTTATCGCCCAGAGAATCAAAAGAGGGAGAAACAATGAAAAAAACAGACAAAATAGAATAGAACATGAAGGATACAATCAGAAACGGCTCGTCAGAAGAAACTTCACATTTGCCTTTTGAGAAGATTCAAAAAAAGTTAACTGAGAGAGAAATGCGAACCTCGGACTTCGTTTTCGAGGCGAGTGAGCTCAACACGGACGGGATCGGAGCCGTGCAAGAGGTTGAAGAAGTCATCGGCTTCGGAGCCGGCACGCGACGCAGCCGGCTTCCTCCGGCTCCTGAAGGAGGTCGAGGGAGTCAGCCTATTCTCCGCGGATGCTTCAGCGTTACTACTAGAATGAGTGCCCGGCATGATTGAGGCACCAAATAAAGTGAGACAAAGAGAATAATAAGAGGACAAATCGGAGAAAGGGTCAGAGAAGAGAGATCTTCCTTCCTTCACAAGATTCCAGTCCAGGTATTCCGGAAAACGGAAATCAATGCTATTCAGAACTTTATTCGAACACAATTCCGTATACTGTACTGCAAATCGCGTATATTGAACTGAATATGGAGATGGCTATAAATGGGTATTGCGAAACAGATGGGAATCATCAGGAAACATGATTTGAATTAAACAGGAGGTTTAGGCGGGCGGGGGTTTAAGAAGACGCACTCTTACCGGACGTGGACCATTGAAAGCTAATTACTTGCAAAGATCAGATTTTTATACCCGTTAAATGATTGGAATTTGGAGGAACGAATGAAAAGTGAACACCACTTTAACAGGTAGTTTGATGACGATAAATGGATGGATATGCTCAATTAGTGAAGAAATATAATTAAATTATACTTGTACTACTGAAAAAATTATATACTCCATATATGGAGTATAAGTTAAAGTAATTATATTGAGACAATTCAGCAAGAAAATTACTTCAGCGGTGTTTTTATTATTGCAGAATTTAGCACACGCTGTTGAACTTTTTAGTGTTTGATAAAAAATGATGAATAATGCTGATAAGTCGAAAATCAAATATCAGACATGTTTTTAAAAAAAACAATAATATGTATTATGAAAAATTGACAAGAGTAATCTCACGTTTCACTGGTCTTCTCATAGTAATCCAACTTTTACGTAATCACAGAATAATTCCACCTTTGTACTCCATGTTCTTTCATTGGACTATGACTTGTTGATGACCTATTATACCAAGTTTTTTACCCTTTCTTTTTATTCTCGTATTTTTATTTCATTTTCCTTTCTTATGTAAGATTTTCAAAGAAAAAGTAAAAACATGGTATATTAGGTCATCAACAGGTCCTGGTCCAATGAAAGAAAATGAGGTGCAAATTTGAGATTATTCTGGGATTACGTAAATGTGATATTATTATGAGAAAACCAGTAAACGGTGAGATTATTCTTGTCCATTTTTCATATGTATTATTAGATGAGTAAATGTTTAATAACTTATCAATCATTTGATGTGTAGCAAATGATGTACTCCGTAGCAAACAATTTCTTATCATGGAAAACTCGATTACAGGGGCGGCCCTGTATGATCGAAGGCCTAGGGGCGGAAAATGAAAAAGGGCCTAACGTTACAAAAAACAATTAGAACCCTTTTCTATTTAAACTGGCATGCATAACAATATTAATAAAAATAATATAATAATATTTCAAGACATTTATAAGAAAATGTCAAACACTATTTTGTCTAAACCAATCATATTATAGTACTGGAAATCTTTATTTACGAAGAAAACAATGGTAACCCTATTTGTACATTTTACCAATGTTGAAATCGTATTTAAGGAATTAACTCTATATCATTTCCTAATTTCCCCTCTTATGATGTAATCATTCTGAGCCATTTTACTTTCAGTAGCTAATGTAAATTGTTGTTAATCTATTAGTTCTCATCTTGAAGAGAACATTTAGAATTTGATTTTTTTACACAAACTAACCTTTCCATTGAACATTTTTTACTTACCGTCGTTATCTCTAATCATCTCCTCCTTTTAATTTATCCTATTCAGGTTCAATCCTCTTTATTACACCTTAAAATTAATTAAGCTTACAAATTTTGTCATAATTCAAAATGTTTGTCTAACCAAATCAAAAAGTTATAACACCAACACTCACTCTATAGAAAACTATCAACAATTAAGAAGTCAAACAATCAACTATGAATGGAATCAATCAATAAATTAATCAAATAACCATATCAAACTAATCTAGTTTCGAGTAGAATTTTTTTTGTGGAATTTTAAGAGAAGGTTTTTCATCAAGTGTAGATTATGTCTATAAAATTTCAAATTAAAATTCAATCGTAAAGTCAGTTACATAAAGTATTGAAAAATTATGGGCCAAAATATGTATAAAATGCAATGTTTTTAAATAATTTATATAACTGTCTTCTAAATTGAACTATAAACTGAGTTTTTTTTACATAATCTACACTTTATAGAGAACATGATCATATGTTCTCACCACAAAAATCTTTCAGATGAACTTCAACAAATTCTACTCGAAAAATTGTTAGTTTAGGGCTGAAAAATCAGCCTACTCACACCTATTACAAATAACAAAATTTGGGCCTATTTTTTACCCACTTTTTTTTGGGCCTAGGGCGCCCGCCCCCCTTGCACCCCCTAGGGCCGCCCCTGCTCAATTAGGAATATGCAATTATGCATATCATTACTACATGGAGAAAATGATTAGAAAATGAAAATCGATGTGTAACAAAAATAGAATAGTTATTATGTTCAAGTAAATTACTCCATTCATTCTGCTAAAATTGTCTCATCTTTTCTTTTCAGTCCGTCCCACTAAGATTGTCCGTACCAAATTTGATATGAGTATTATATATATGGTTTTAAATCATTCTTACGTTGCTTTTATTTTAACATCCTTATGTCCTAATGTTTGTGGGATGGATGAGTAGTTAATTACTCCCTCTGTCCCATAAAATTTTTCTCGGTTTGACTTGGATATGAGTTTAAGAAAGTAAGAATAAAGTAGAAATGTATCATTCTAGTTGAGTAAAAAAATGTAAATGAATGTTAGTTGCACAAAACTTTCTAAAAAGGAAAATGCGGTTTTTTTTTTAAACATCCCAAAAAGATTAGTTTGAAGAATTTGTAGACGGAAGGAGTATACTGACTTCTTTCATGTCTCTTTATGTATCTTTACAATTAAAGATTTTGCGGATTATAAATTACCAAACATCTTTTTACAAAAACATACTACTAACTAGGTAGTACTTAATTAAGAGTACTTATATGAGTGGAGCTAGCGTAAATTATATCGTATAGCCGGCTGTACGGTGAACACCGTACAACCGGATATTTTTGAAATTAAATTCAAGGGAAAATCGCATATATGGTCCCTCAGTTATCCACGAAATTAAAATCTCAGACCTGTATTTTTGAGATTCTAAATGTCATCCCTCAATTGTCCAAATTGTTGTAAATGTGGTCCTTTAAGTGGTGAAATGTACTTTCGCCCACATTGTATATGTCACCCCTCAAAAGGACCACATTTACAGCATTTTGGAGAATTGAGGGGTGACATTTACAATCTAAGAAATATAGGTCTGAGATTTTAATTTCGTGGATAACTAAGGGACCATATATGTGATTTTCCCTAAATTCAACATCGAGCCTGATTATATTAGTGGATCTGATGTCTTTTGAATCATCCATCACAGGATTAGAAAGCAGGGAGACGACATCGGCTGGTGCTTGAGCCTACCGCAGACTCGTAGTAATTGCCGACATGATCGTTGGGTGTGGGGAGGTTTCTTTCCGGACGGCCATGGGTGGAAGCTCCGCAGAGAAGACAATCGATTCCGGTTCTCAGGCTTACGGAGTTGCGAATGATTCTTTGTGAAATTGAATACGGCGTACTGTAGTTGATCAATATGGAGTGCCGCAGTGCTAATTATTGAATTGGAATTAAGAAAGAGTTCCAAATCATACTCCTTTTCATTTAAAAAAATGAGCAAATACATATGAATATTTTAGTACATTAAAAATTTCAATTGAGTTTTGAATTTTTTTATACTCATTTTATAAGTTATGTATGCTCATTTGGTATCGGCTTTTGTGCTCATTTTATAAAGTATCATGTTACATTATATTCACGCAAGAGTTGACTATAGGTACGAGAGCATATACAATCAAACTCAGTTGCATATTTCGAATATTCAATAGTGAATTTTGATGTTCAATGAAAATGTCGTAATGGTCAACTAAAAATACTTATAATTTTCATATTAATGTTCACTCATTTTGTAAGTTACGTTAGCTCAATTGATACTCATGATATGCTCATTTTTAATTGGTTATACCAATGCATATTCCAAAAGTATCATATTATATTGGATTTACATATTGAAGTTCATCGAAGTTGATTATAGATATTAAATAAGTTTTTATAAAAGAAAAAATTAGAAACAGAAAGTGAATTCCAAGATATGAGAAGGAGATCACGATGCTCATTGTTAGGCTCTTAATACTCAACAAAATATGTCAGACGCTCACTACATCTGTATAAATGCTTATTTAGCAGAAGACGTGAATTTCATTTTAATGCTCATTTTAAAAATGAGTATTATGTTAAATTCAAATGAGTATAACTCCTAAAATGAATGTGCAGACACAAATGAGTAATACTCAATAGAGGAGATTTGATACTCAATTAAAATATGAACAAAAAAACTTACGAATTTCATATTAATGCTCATTTTATATGTTACATATGCTCATTTTTAAAATGTCATAACAATGCATTATTTCAAAAGTACCATATTACATTAGATTCGCATATTGAAATCCATAAGAATTGATTATAGATATAATTTAATGAGATTTTATAAAAGAAAAAAAAAGTGAATTACAATATATGAAGTTGATATCACAATACTCATTATTTTACTTTTAATTCTCAGTAGAATACGTGTGATGTTCATTAAAAGTGTATTAAGGCTCATCTAATGAAAACCGCGATTTTTACTGAAATTACGAAAATGCCACCATTTTTTAACTGTGATATCAGTTTTTTTTGTAAAAACACGTGGCTCATTATTGGACGCTTAATACTCATTAAAATTGGACTATTGCTCATTAACAATACACTAATGCTCATTTAACAGAAACCACAATTTTCACATTAATTACAAAAATGACACCGAATTATTTTGTTGTTTTTCCATTGGGTCTGTTACTGGGCCGGTTGTACGGTGCTCACCGTACAGCCGATTGTATAATAGACATACTCGTGGAGCTAGGTGTACACAAAAGTTGTACACCAGGCATTTTTCGTACTTATATAGTCCATGTGACAAAGTACAATTTTGGACACACACCCTCACCGGTCCATTTAATTTGAGCAGTGGCTAATCGTTCCCACTGTCAGTACATTCATTACAACGGCTGATCTAAACTTTTGTTCAAATTCGACAATGGAAACAGGTGTTTTTTATTAGACCCACAAGTGAAGATTGCCATAAAAAAAGCAGTTTCGAATTGCAATTCACCATTGCTAGCCGCAAAACAGATTAGGTAAGGAAAGTTATGATTACTTTACTATATAAATGGCATAGAGTAAAAGTTTCCTCCTTTTTTAGGAGGGTCTATATCCGAAATCCAAGCATGAGTAAAATTGAAAATTCTGACCGCCAAGCAGGTGTAGGCCTGTAGGGGAATGTAAAGAGTAAAAACAATGTTAGAACTGGGAAGTAGAGACAAATGTAATGAGACATTGAGAATAATT